ATAAATAAACATTTATTAGCTGAGTGCTTTTGGAAGAACTATTTCTTAGGCTCAAACTTCTTATGGATTTAAATTGGGTTGAGAATAGTATCACATAGGATTGTTGTGGGGATTAAATAAGGTAAATCACACATAATACTTAGAACAATACCTGGCATTTGACATGCACTCTAACAAGGCTATTTAGTATTCTTTACCAGACAGAGAGTAGTTACTGAAGATACAGGGTTAAAAAAACGTATCTTAAAAAGGTAAAAAGGGCATATAAGCTACCTAAGTAAGAGTATAGTATAAAGTATATCTTATAAATGAATAATGGGGTAAATGAAATTCTCATTTATCTCATCTTATGTAAGAAAACTCAACTACCACCTTTATGTAATTTTGATTTTTTTTTTACCACTTCTAACTTTATTTCTATCTCCAATGAAGGCATTCCTCTTGATGGGACTGCCTCTATGAGTGAAAGGATGAACAACCAGAACCACATATGCACTGATACCTGCTGGATGTGGACCCCCAGAGCATCTAGTCCATTCGAAGATGGACCCCACACAAAGGGATCATGTGGAAGAAAGGACACATTTCCAGCTCAGATGTGCTCTAATTTAACTAGTATAAGCAATGCAAATAAAGAAACTATATTGGTAGGACCTCTTGGTAAATGGTTAGCTGCAGTGCTCATTTCTGTTTCCTTCTCCCTACCCATATTCCAGGTTAGTTACTATTAAAAATAAAACAATGCGTACTCTTGATTTAATACTTACGATTAGCAACACTATGTTCTCAACATAATGTTCTTACAGCCTTCTTTCTTTTTTCCGAAGGACCCGCATCTCTTTAGATGAGCCCAACTGTGCAGTCTCTTTTCTCTTGCTCCTCAAATCGTAATCACTATCACATCTAAAATCCACTTAAAGACACTCATTGGAGCTTTTAAATTAAGGCACTTAATTGACTTAGGAACAAAAACAACAGAACTGTAATCTATGTAGATGTGCTGTGCAGAACATTCTTGCAAGACTTCCAGATACTAAGGTGAGACTGAAGTGCTTGGCCCCTTAGCTTGCTGTGTGAGGAGACAAGATAGAATCTTCAGACACACCTGGCTGTCAAGAAGCCTCTGGGACCAGCAAAACAAATAATTCATTTGCAGTGGAAAGGAAAGAAATGAAATGTTTCCCTCCTGCACTGAAATACAGTGTGTCCTACTTTGCATGGTTTAGCATCAGGAGGTTTGAATTTTCCAGAGGGCTTAACTGCTAATTAGCTGTGTGAAGATGCCTGTTGTGTGTCCTTAAGCGCAAATGTTCCCATTTGTCGTAAAAAGCTGCAATAGTTAGATGAAGCAAAAGGAAGTATCCCTACTGTGTTTGATCCCTACTGTGGCTTGATTTAGTTGTACTCTCCTTTCTATCTCTTTTGTAAGGCTTAGGACACTGTGTTATGAAAACCAACTCTCTCTCCCTGATACAATGGAAACTCTGTAAGTATATCATGCCTGATTTACCTCTGTATTCCCCAATCCTAGCTTGACACTTAGTAGGCACTCAATTAATGTTTGTCAAATAAGTGAGGTAGCTCAAAGACCCGGGAGAACTATCTGTCTTTCCAGGGCTTTGAACACCGATATACCCAGCCCCAGTGAGTGAACATTCATGGAAAACCCAGAAACCTACTGAACAAGGAAAATTTTTTTCTAAGAATAAGATCTGCAAATAAGTTAATAATTTCAGAGATAATTATAATCATGACAATAAAAATTTTTGTTTTCTAACGAACTCCTAGCCTAATGGTTTAGAGGCATGGGCAATTGTTCCCACTGAAATGTAGACTGGAACTGATGGGCTGAGTCCAATAAGATGGATTTGTAAAACTAAAGCTCTATACTTAGATTTTTAAAAAGCTACAATATAGAAGGGAGCTGACTGGGTAGCAACTCATGAGTTTTGCTCTTGGCCACAAGTTCTGCAGCAGCCAGACATGGGATGAGGTCAACAGAAAATTGAATGCAGTGTTCAGCTGCATTGATTTACTGGGTCAGTATTTTTAACAGAGAAAATAAAGTTTACTTTGTTTTGGGGTTCTACCCATGAATAATATATATGAATCAACTACTACCTATAAGACCAATAATCATTTTTAAAAGACATCGATTGTACTAAATAACGAAAGCAAAGGAAATCTGGACATTGCGGGTTTCCTTCAGCTTTTTCTCATTGTTCTGCTCTGTGGCAGATAATACAATACATAGCTAAAACTTCCTGAGCATTCTTTATCCGCAACCAGGTACTATAATACTGATGGGAACATTGGGTTTTAGATACACTAGGTTCTTTGCCTAATGTCATGTACAAGTCAGGCAGGTTTCAAAGAGATGACAAAGCCTCTGGTCACAACAATACAGACTCATCCAAAGGACAGTGGTCACCCTGCTCACAGGGACATTATTCACCCATCTGTTCTGACCCCACGGTGAAGTGGGCAGGTGGGACAATGGTGAGGAGGGACTGTAACATTTGGAAATATGAGTAGGAGAAGAAAGTTCACCAGGAGCAGCTGAGCTGGTCATTTTCAAGAAAGATACATTGCTGAGTTACTTGCTAAAAGCTTGCAGTGTTATCGCAGAAAGCCCAGCAATCCAAATAAACCTGTGGAATTGTCCACAGCTGGGGAGAAATGTAAATGAGATACCAGCCAAGAAGTCATTAGAGTACTCCAAACAAAATCAACTCATTTGTGACTTGTCACTTTTATAAGTTGGGGAATGAGAGGTTTTCTAATGGTCACCAAGCAATTGTTTTCTGGCCCCACTGGGCAACTGCTTTTTAAGTTCACCTTGTCCTAAAGATGACCTCACAAAATGCTTTATAAGGTTTGGAAACATTGTTTTCCATATAGTGTCATAAAAAAAATGTGCCTCTTGAGGCTTTGATTAGGGCTGGACAGAGCTGAGCTTGCAAAAGAGGATAGTGTCATTGCAGGTCCAGCTGCCCTGCTGGTGGGCACAAGAGCAAAGCCAGAGAACCTGCAGGGAAGGCTGGAATGTGCAATGTCTATATTAGGCATGGGCCTAAGCAAGCTGCTACATGAAAATATCACGACAGCCCAACAGAAGGCCACGTTTGGGTAGAGCTAGCCATCAAGTGCAATGTGGGAGGCTCCTTGTTTGGAAGAGAAAATGAGACTCCACCATAAGCACATAACTCAAAGGGGTGAATGAGGATGATAAAAAATGCCCATTGTTTCTCAGAAAGTTTGCCAAGAGGATTGGGTTTCTAAGATAAGCAACTATTGTGAAATGGAATAAAATGAGTTTGATTGTTCTCCTTTTTGTGGCATTTACTAAATATGTGTTCTCTGGCTGTCTTGGTAATAGGTGGCATTTTCTACAAAACCTACCATTCTTTACTACTTTTAATTTTTAAAAATATCTCTATAGGAATTTTACTTTAGTTTATAGGTAGGGGATATATTATTTATTTATGTCTTCCATTTCCCCTGCTGGGCAGGTGGTTTTGAACTGGACTGACTATATCTTAAGTAATAGGATATTTCTCACAGTAATATTGCCACGTATTTTGAGACTCATCACAAAAATAAAAATAAATTCGTTCATCTTTCAGAGCATTGATTTACTAGACATTCTATGGGCTATGATAGGAATTGATCCTGAACAGAAGGCTAGATTAGCCTAAAAAAATGTAAAACGTGGTTTAATTACTGAATTCCTCACCTTCTGGTTTGTGCATTCGAGAACGAGATTAAAGATAATTACAAATAAGGAAAAATATGCCAGACCTATGTTCAAGTTTTTCTTTTCTCCCCATATTTATTAGCAGTGAGATTTTGGTCAAGAAATTTTTGTTCTTTGATCTTCAGTCACTTTGCTTTAAAATGGGGATAAAATCACCTCTGCTTACCTCACAAGGCTTTTGAAAGGCTCAAAGAAAACACTTTGTAAAATATTTGTTAATTCTTAGATACTAAATTAATTTTAAGGTATCATTTTACTAAGAATATTGTACTTTAAGTATATATCATATCATGATGTTACTTAAATCTCTATGTACTCCTTAATTTCCTTATCTGCTGAAACTCACCAAAAAGATGCAAACAGCAATTAATAATCAAAAGTCTAATCAAGAAATAGAGAATAAAGCCCAGACCCCACCTCTATACAATATATATTATACATGTAACAAAACTGTACTGTCCCCCAAATATATTGAAATTAAAATATATATATATATATATATGTAAGATGAATGTTCGAATCTGAATCCCAACTCTCTATTAAATCAGATTACCAAACACTTCCTTTCATAGGGAACATGGGATCACACCACCCATCTCACTGAAGGCAGAGAGAGGGAAGGAGAGAAAGAAGAAGGAAGAAGGAGAGAAAGAAGAAACAAAGGAATGAAGAAAGGAAGATTTTCCCTTTGAAAATGATGTACTATGTGATATTTCTTCTTAAATAGCATTTTATTTTAACTTACTGAAGAATTTATTACCATTTTCAAAGTTACCACAGTAAAGAAAGGTGGGATTATCAGTTTAAGAAATAGAATTAGAATACTTATGATATTTCTCATCATAGGCCCACAATTTAGTAATGTAATTGGTAAATATATTTCGAAAGACGTCTGATAAACACATAGCACATCTGATGAGTTAAGTTAGGTGAAGGTAAAAGCTAAAGCTTTTGTTAAAACATCACAGTGCTAGAAATTTCAGGAAGACCTCGAAGAGTGATCAATTGATGGATGGCTCAGCCAAAGTACCCTGTGGTCTTGAAGGCTCCACAAAAGCCATGTAGGCAAGACTCAACTGTAGTCTGAACCGTGCCTGAGAAGAATGTGCTCCCTTCTGGAACATGGCAATGTGAGCAAACTGCCCATGGGCTGTTGCAGGCCATTTCTCATCCACCACCCTATCCTGCAGGAAGTCCCGTGTCCTGCAGAAGGTTGTCACACAGCTCTTTCCCATCCACCTACCTGGTTCCAGTGAGGCATGCAATTTTCCACCTCACCTTTCTTTGGGTACAGCTGCAGACTATACTACCACGTAGCTGCAGTGTGAAACCGACTTCTCAACTGCAGAGTGACACACTCCTTGTGTTGTGTGCCATGCGGTCCCTCTGGTTGGATGGTGTCCTGTTGGAACAGGGACGTAGGGAGCTGATACCATACTGATCTTGCTTTTGGTATTCGCAAGTGAAACTATCTGAATGTATCAATATTTACATTTGGGCTTTGTTGTCCCTTTACTGGTCAAATCTGTGGATGTGGGACAAGTCAAGAGAGGAGAGAACATTGCCCTGCTGCTTAGGGGCTGCTTGGCCACGTGACAATAGACATATATAAAAAAAAACCAACCATCCATTTAACATCTCTGTGTGAGTAGAGCTACAAGTGGATGAGACATAGTCTTGATCTCAAGGGGAGAACCAAAGGAATGAAATAAGGATTCCCATTTGTACTGGAGAGAAAAAAAAAGATAAAATAGAAGAAGATGATCATAAATGTAAGAAGCTAATAGTGATTTTGAAAAATATTAACAAAAATGAAATGCAGAATAAACTGTCTAAAGACAGAAAAAGATACATAAAACATGTTACCTTTAAATTAACCAGAACCTTTTTTTTTTCCAGTTAAAACTACTGTAGGTAAACTAAAAGCCCAGAAGAACAAAGTTTTAAATTACTTGGAATATTTAGGTAAACAGCCTTTAAGTTCTTTAAGGTCTATCATTTACTCTCTAAATTCAGAAAGAAGAACATAGTTCCCTCCCTGGCCAGTGTGGGGACCCTCTTAACTGCGGGGTACCTTCAATTCCACAGGGTCTGGGCTGTCGTCGACCCTAAACACATATGTGCGGAATTACTGAAGCTCAATCAATGCTTTTCTCCAGGTGTGTGTATGTACGCACTTATCTTTTCTAGAGGGGAATCTCCTAAGCTCCCAGCTAGATAGTATGCACATGGTAGCACCCTGGAGGCAGGCTGGGGAAAGGTGGCCAAAGTCTCCAAGTTCAGTAATATAGACATGCGCTTAGATGCCTTCTCCACCACAGGTCTTGCCACTGTGCCTGATGTTCTCAAGTCAGGAGTTTCCTGGTATTTTCAAAAAATAAAACTCTGCGGCCTTGCCAGGAAGCTACACAAAGTTGGGAAGGGCCCTGGGGATCCAGTTGCTTTAGATCCATTCTTTCAATAAACCCATCTGTTTCTAGCCCTCTTCCTCAACTGAGTCTCTCCGGGTGCTGAGTTCCATGTTGTGAACTGGCTCATTTCTTACTCCCGGTTGGGGGTTGGGTTATAGCTCTATTTACTCTGCTAAGACAATTCCATCACTTCCCTTTTTCCTAAAAATATATATATATATACATATATATATATATATATATATATATATATATATATATATATCCCATCTCACATTCATTGTTTCCTTCTCTTCCGTTCTCCTCGTCCTTGTGGATTACCACCTTTTAATCTGTGGACATGAGGCAAACCAAGATAGGAAGGAATGTTTTGTTGCATTCCTTTGTAGCCACTTCTGTGGGTTTGGGGAAGAACAGGAGATGAACTCTGTTGGCCAGTCCTCTATTTGTATTGAGAAATCCCCAGTGCAGCTGAGCGGGAAATGCTTCCTTCATCTTTGTATCCTCCAGATGTTTCTTAGAACCTGACTGTAGAAGGTGCTTAAAAAGAAACTGTCATTGAACAGTTGGCTACACGTGACAAATGTACACTTTGCCTACAAAGCTAGATAAACTAGTTTGGTTCAGCAAACATTTTCAGAGCAGGTATTCTATACCAGGACCATCAACGACGATGGATGTAAGGGTAGGTAAAACACAATTCTTACTCTTTATGTTCAAGAATGTGGTGGAGCTGCCTTGAAAAGTGGTGCATTTGCAAAGCTGGAGAGGAGACAAGAGTGTGCATTATCCAGCTGTGCCCTAGTCTTTCTAAGTCCTGGGAGGCAGCAAAAGTCACAGAAAGCATCTTATAATCACTCAATTAAGAAGTTAAGGAATAACACTCTGTGGAATTAATTCACCCTTCAACATCCTTTATAAATGAATACTTCCTTCTATGAATCCCTGCAATCGTGGCAAGTCAAGTTTACGTCCTGGATCTCAGTGATAAAAGTAGAGACGATTAACTGTCCTTGTCTATTAGCTTGTTTTAATTTTAAGTGGAGAAATGATGCTTTGGTTTTGATTTTGCAATCCAAAGAAATACAAATATGCAACTTTAAAAGAAAATTTTCAGCCAAAGGTAAAAAACAAACAAACAATCAAAATAACCAAAATTGGTGTCAGATATAAAGAACCCCTTGGAAATAAATGAAGATTAAGGAAGAGAGGATACTGCAGAGGGCTGCGTTATCAAAACTCAGTTACCAGAATCCCAGATTGAGATAATGGGAGTAAAGTGAGAAGTTATTGTCTCAGTAGCTGAAAAGATTCAGACACAGCTGGAGCCAGATGCTCAAAAGCTATTGATATGATCAAATTTCACTCTGGTTCTGCGCCGGCTTCACTTTTAGACAAATTTCATCCTTAGATTTACACCTACCAATTTAGCAACCCATGCAGAGAGATTCTCTTTCCCCAGTGATTCTAGCAAAAGTATTGGCCATCAGTTTCTGATTTGCCAAGCCTGAGTCACTCTTAAGGCAGAGCATTGGGTTGCCCCCAAACCAGATGAACTGAGGGTGGGAGAAGGTTGTTGCCACCTTTCAAAGGGGGGGCTTTGAAACCAGCAAATCTGATAGCTACGATTGGTGTAAGATAATACTGGCCCTGGAGTTTTGGCTGCATCACCGATTTAAAAAAAAAAAATCTTTAAGTTCTGAGACAAGCCATATTACCTAGCACTGAGGGCTGGTTTTGAGTTTAGTTATTTTTTAATTATTTACTGATCTTCCCATAGCATTCACCCCCCCCAGGCAACTATTAGCATCCAACTCTTGCCAAAAGGCCACCTGATCAGAAAGGTTAAGAGAAATATCCAATAGCCTCTACTGAAAGGGTAGAATATTTATTTTTAGCTTCCTGGTATTTGATTTTAAATGCTTTCAGCCTGGAATGACTTCAGTGAGATTTGTACATTTGAAGGCTGCCAAGAAAAGAAGGGGGAAAAAGTCAAATATTAAAGAAAAACCTCTCTCTCATCCAAAAGAGGAAGATTCTTTAAATTTCTAAAGAAAATGTTAGTTCTATTTTTAACTCCCTTTTGGGTTTTCTAAGGCTTAGGCTAAGGTAAGGAGAAATAGGTCAGGTAACAAAAACCTTTAGAAACAAAAGATTTTATACTTGGGAATCATTAACCCTTTATTAATAAATTTTTGATAAGGAGGAGAAGAGAGAGGGAAAGCAGGCCTACTACCTGCAATCCAGGTCTCAGGAATTTCAGAATTTTCCGCATTACAGGCCCTGGAAGATTCCTAAAAGGGAATTTGTTCTGGAGGAGAATGGTCAGTCAAAACACAGTCTCATGAAGACGTTTGGGTCATGAAAATTGTCCTTCTAGAAAGAGCCACCAAAGTAGCTTGTCCCTTAAGATATTGTTATTGGCTGGGTGTGGTGGCTCACCCACTACTAACGTAATCCTAGCACTCTGGGAGGCCGAGGCAGGAGGATAGCTTGAACTCAGGAGTTCAAGACCAGCCTGAGCAAGAGTGAGACCCCATCTCTACTAAAAATAGGAAAATTAGCCAGGCCTTGTGGCACGCACCTATAGTCCCAGCTACTCGGGAGGCTCAGGCAGGAGGATCGCCTGAACCCATAAGTTTGAGATTGCCATGAGCTATGATGATGCAGCTGCATTCTAGCCTGGGTATTGCTCATACCAATAAGAATGGGACCCAAAATCACATTGAAGTGATCCTTGGACTTAATTTAGTGTCCATCCATTTGGATACAGTCTGAGTGTATAATTTCTGTTTAAAGGAAGAGAATTTTGTCCTTGGTCTCTGCTGCACCCACTGTTCAATGGATTTCTGTTTACAGCCTGATAATTCTTTGCACATTAGGTTCTTTTACATGGGAATCAAGCACTCTGCTATAAGCAATGGGAAACATTTTGCTCAGTGAGAAACTCTAGTGCCTCATAAGAAAGGGTATAGCTTTCAGAATTGTCATTTTTGTTCACCTGGTAAAATCTGACTTTATGTCAATAATTCCCCAAAATCTCCAGCTAAGGAAAGAAGTCATGCACCAAGTTCATTCCACATGACAGGCTAGAGATAAAACTAAAAGTCCAACCTTGTAACTTCCCTTTTTTGTCTCTCCTTGGTTCAAGCACACCCTCTTATATCAACTATTCTTCTTTCTCAATTGAGTCCTGTGTACACAGTAAAAATAGGATTAACTCAGAATAAAAATTTTGCATATGAGTTCTATAAAAAAGGTTTCAAGAGAATACATTTAAAAATAAACTACCCCAAATATTCCTCCATAACAAAATAGGACAAAAGGAAGTTAGAACAAAGTCTTAATTTATACAGAAGGTACAACCGTTTCCGTGAAAACAATGGGGCAGTCATGCAAGTGGATAGGGGTTCACAGAAACTGGACCCAAAGAATAAAGAATAAATAAAACAGACAAGAATGAATACATTCTGGGGTGATCAACGATAAGAACCCCAGAGATCGTGGTATTTGGAGAGAAGTGATGGACGTACTGGACGTGTCACCATCTGGCCCAGGTTCTGGACGATTTCAGTCTTTTCTTTTCTCTGTTGCTCTGTTGCTATTTCCATAGTCTGTGCTTCTGGTTTGTGCATAAATGTGTGTGTGTGTCTGTGTATATGCATATAGATAGTATACACACACACACATATATGACACAATCTGATACCATAAAAGCACAGATCACAAAAATACTATATATATAAAATATACACAATGTTCACTGAAATATTGTATATACGGTCTGTGCTTCTGCATATATGTATGCATACATACACACAAATATAAATATACATATATACACACATATATGTATCCAAATCTAGTACTATAAAATAATCTGTATTCTTTGTCCATTCTTGTTCCATATATATCAGATTAACTTAGATTCGAATGTCAGCTCTGTTACTTACTAACAGTAATACCTGGGACAAATTATTTAACTTCTCTTTATTGTCTTTATAAGGCCACAAATATATAAAATAATACATTTCAAGAGGATGCCGACTGAATGCTGAGTACAATGTAAGCACTGAATAAATGCTAGTAGTTGCGATGACAGCTGGGATGATCAAAACACATTCATAATCATATACGCACCAGTACCAGAGCTGTCATTTAAAGTATAATGTTCTCGTTTGCAACATGAGAAACAGGACTCAAATCCAGGTGTCTTTACCAACAGTCTGTACTCTTTCCAGCATTCCAGACAGGCTTTGAGGAATATTTACATTTGAATATGAGAATATCCAGTCTTCTAAAAATTAACTGTAAATGAAATAATAAAATTTCAATTGAGAGTGTTCTGGGGCTCTGGAGGAATTAGAAAATTGTGTTTAATTTCCCAGT